AAGTGCCTGAAGTTAGAAGAAATGAATACGCCCATATAAGGAATGTGTCACTCAGTCTCTCTCTCTCTCTCTCTCTCTCTCTCTCTCTCTCTCTCTCTCCCTCTCCCTCTCCCTCTCCCTCTCTCTCTCTCTCCCCCTCCCCCTCCCCCTCCCCCTCCCCCTCCCCCTCCCCCTCCCCCTCCCCCTCCCCCTCTCTCTCTCTCTCTCTCTCTCTCTCTCTCTCTCTCTCTCTCTCTCTCTCTCTCTCTCTCTCTCTTACTTCTAACACTTTCAAATTCTCTTGTGCCAAATCATTTTCAAGACTACTGATCTAAAAAATAAACAAAGTAATAAATAAATAAACAAATAGATGAATAAACAAATAAATAAATAGATAAAGAAATAAACAATACAAGTAAAGTGCACCTTCTTTCTTAAAGATTCAAATTGTTCTTTGCTAGATGATACCATCCTTAACTCCTACACAAAAATAGTAAAATGTATCATTATTGCATATAATATTTCATTAACTACAGTACCTCTTCAAGGTCCATTATCTGCTGGACATACATCATGTTCTTGTCTTCAAGCGACTTCTTCTCTCTCTTCACTTCCTGCAGTAACTCTACACAATAATGTTATTATTATTATTTTATAATTAAATTATTTAAATTATTATTTACCTAATTTCTTCTTGTATTGGCTAATGACAGATTCGTAACTTTTCTTTAAAAATAAATAAAAATAATAAAACTTCATCCTCTGTCTCCCTTAAACTCACCACTTTAGCTTCAAGGTATTTTGACTCCTCCAGACTGTCCTTCAGTAACGGTATCTCTTCATTAGCAGCTGCCAGTTCGCTGTTCTGTGGGTGTGGCATGTTGTCATGGAAACGAGCATAGCAACTATTACAGTACCTTTTGCTCAAGTTCCGTCACTTTCGATTCCAATTCTTCAATTTGACTCATCAATTCATCTCTCTCTGAGAAAAGAAAAAAGATAAGCGAATTAATTAATTGTTTAATTAGAGCAGGGCAATTGCAGCCAATTGCCCATTCAAAAATTTTCTTTGCAACTTAGGAGTGCAAATCACAACTATATCCTTCATCCTTTACTGGTCTCTTTATAAATGCATGAAACGTTACAAGGCTATCGTGGGTCGGACTATAATGATATTCATTACTTGTTACTGAGGCTTGTAACACGTAGTTGGAATGTACATGTATCTCAAAGGGACACATTCACGGAAGCACATCATCTTGAAAAACTGGCCCATTTTTCAAGATGACATCATTAATGATGACGTGTAGTGTTGATAACTATTCATAACGTACGGCCGCGCCCCTAAAAATTAAGGCAAAATGGCTACTCGAGTGGTTACTTGTAAATATTCCTGGTGTTTCTTCACTAAAGAGTATCTTGGGGTAGCAAAAGAGCTAATTCTGTTCGAGAGAAGTGTTCTACAGATGCCTACTCCTGGTTCTATGCCTGATTGCTCTGTCTCTACTCTCTACACGTGTCATAACTATTAATTAATGATCTGTTGCACGCCCAATTTAATGTTTACTTCCTCTACAGTGACGTGTGCATTCTATTTCCCTGAACATGTCCCTTTAAACTTTCTACCAAGAGTAAAGAGCTAACCATATTCTGCCCTTAGCTTCTCTTTCCTAATGTCCTCCAATTTTCGGTTTACTCTTTGCAATTTCACTCCCCCAGGGGTCCTAAAGTGGGTATTGTTAATGGGTGTAGCTTCATTAATACTCACCCGAAGTCTTCCACAGGTACTTTATCCCTGAGGTCCTTAACTTCAGTCCTGGTCTCCTCCAGTTCTCCTTCAATTGCCGTCAGCTTAAAATGAAAATTATAAGCAGCTGCTATATTGTATTTATTTCTTACATTTTTTTGAAGTTCAAATATTTTTTGTTGCAATTTGTCATTTTCTGCCTGTTGGTTTTTAAGATCCTCTGATGTTCGTTGGTACTGAAATATGCAATAATATACAAGAATATACTGAGACATACTAACCTGTTCTTCTAGTTCCTTATAAACGTCAATTTGTATCATACTGGGGGACCCAATACTCATTAACTGTAATTAATAAAATTAATTGATTGACCACACCCACATGGCCCCTCCCCCTCCTCATACCTCTTGTATCAGTTGCATTACTGTGTGCTGTACTCTCTCCTCCATACTCATTATA